AAGCAGGACTCTAACCCAGACCTTTCAATCTGAAGTCCAACAAGGTGATCATCAAGCTACTGTGCTCACCAAAAGGGCTGACAACAAGAAGCCCCAGAGAACAAAGCAAATGCCTAAAAGTGGTATGCAGACTTCTTTAGATACTAAAAATATCATTGTACTTACGAGGAGCAATAGGATCAAAGGATGGTGGCAACTGAATGGCATGTTGAACAAGCTTATGCGTCAAGATATGATCATTTACTCCATACCTGAATGGGGAAAAAAAAAAGAAAAAAAGAGAAACTGTTAACATCAGTGATTATGATGGACCCTCTATTATAGAGAATTTGACCCATTCATGGAAATTCTTGGGGGAAAACAGGTCTGATGCCATAAAAATATTATCAACTTTCCGTAATTAGTCATACAGACAATTGATTTTCACTAGGCAAGTGGTACTTATAATAATTAGCACTCCATGTTTAACCCTCTCACTCCCAAGATCTGACTGTTAATTCTCCCTCCTTGCTGCTACACATTTCCTTGTAAATTAGTTATGAGAATTTGGTGTTCAATCATGACCAAGATACAAGTTCTACAAGTTTTCTCATTACCAATTTGCTGGATAGTGCACAGATGTTAAAGGGAGAAGTTACATGTTAATCACTTGTAGGAGTTAAAGAGTTAAGAATCCGTTGGTACAGCACCGATAAAATTTAAAAAGACTTTACCAGAATACAGTCCACTTTCCATTTGTCCAACTCCCATCAGACCTGATAAAATACCTGAAAAGAATAAAACCAGAATCTCTTTAATTTAGATTATTAAAATGCATGTCAAGGCAGTGCACATACATATTACATGTTTGGCAATTCACAATAGGTCAATCTCCACATCTATGTTTTGTTCAGGTTGGATTTACATATTACACTGCACATTCCTTACTTTCTAAAGCATTATTACTAATTGAAAAGTTACCAAGGATTAATGCGATTTGTTCCTCTAGATCTCCAGAATAGGCTGCTAAAATCTTGTTTTATTTTCTTCCACAAATTGTCACTTGTTCCAAGACCCTATTTGTAGCAAAAGCACACACTCATTATCATCATTATTTTTCTAATTTCCTTGTATAGATACAAAATAATAGACCACATTGATTAATTGAAGCACAAGCTGACATGTGATTGTTTCAATAAGGTGCAAGAATTGTTTTGCAATACCACAATTGAAAAACATTAAACTAATAAATAATTTGAGATAAACAGGGCTAATGTAAAGCTCAAACATAAAAAACTATCTCAATCTTAACAAAAGTTTGTCAAACAAATAATTTGTACCTGACTATTTCTGCCAACAGTAAATTTATCCATATATGGAATGTCATCAAGGCCATCTTCATTGGTAATAACTGCTGCTGTACTGTAGCTGTAAAGAACAAAGGGACATTGTTTGTATTAAGAACCTTCTCCAAAGTGTTTGAACTGATAGAAAAGACCAGCAGAAATAGTAGGGAAAATTAATCATGAAGATCTTTGTATGACCCTAGTACTTACCTCTCCGTGACATACAAGGTATGCAGGCGATTTTTTAAGGATGAGAAGTATTCTGCATTAAGTGGTTTATCAAATGACCTGGAAATAAGGAAAACATTTAGAAATTTTTTCAACCCTTTATAACCTAAGAATGGCAAGCATATTCTCTGTTCTGGTCTCTATACTTTTCCCAATCCACTTAAACAGTGATAGGTGACTGGGCAAAAAACACACATAAAAAGCATCCTATGAATCCACACCCATTGCCTTTTGAATGCCATGCTTTACTCACTTAACTAGAAGATCCTTAAGTCTGTCAATATCAACAGTCTCCAGTGATTGATGTCTGACAATTTTTTCTGGTCTGAGGAACATTGTACCAGAACCTAAGTGAAAAAAAAAAGAGTATAAAATATCATGCAATGGTTAGCTATAACACCTACATGTGTATCAAAGAGGTAACAGTGCTCCAAGCTACAACCACTTTGACTGCTATGGCAACTAAGAAAAAATTTTGACAATTCTCTGAAATTAAAGTGAGATAAGAATTGCAATTTTTACAATTAACAGTTGCTGTAATTTTGCAATCTGATTGGCCAATTTGTCATTGACAATAAGAGTACAGACAATGCTGTTTGCGTCAACATGTCATGCACTGAAAGAATAATTTCATTTGACTTTGATATTGTGGTAAAAAAAACAAGTCGACAGTGATTTGGCATGGTCTGTACTCTTATTGACAATGATATTTGTCACTACAGTGGTCAAAATGTTGTGGTTAAGTCCACAAAAAAAAAAGAAAATATTGTTGTCACTGAGAGTGCAGATCAAGCTAAACCACAGTTGATTTATTAAGTTTTACCAAGGCATACCATTGTGAGTAAATAATTCAGTGATCAAAGAGTCAGCACTGGTAATAACAGCAGATGAGTACATAGGTAAAGTGTTCAGCAATTCTGCAATTGAAACCACCTGGCAAAGCAAGAAGAGATAGTCAAAAAATTTGAGCTTTGTCATATTTAAAAATGCAAATATCCCCTGTGATATTTAATTGTTGGAGAAAACAATAACCATTTCAAATAATGGAGATACATCATTTTTTAGCTTAATCATCCAAAGGTCACACTTGGTTACTCTCATAAAGGTAAAAAGGAAAGTGTCTAACTTACAAATCTGGGCCCAGTTGTATAAAGGGCAGATAACACTATCCAAGGGATAAATCGCTATCCAGCTGACAAGAAATAGCAAAACCTACAGCATTATCCACCCAATAGAGAATTATCCAATGGATAGCACTATCCAACCTTCAAACAACCAGGGCCAGATAAATCCCTATCCAGCAGATAAGTGTTAACAAAATGTACTGCATTATCAAATGGATAAAGATTCATGTAATGGATAGTGTTATCCACTCCTCAAACAACCAGGGCCTGAATGGCTAGGGTCTCACAAAGGGACAGCTTATGACATATTTCAGTGGAATGTCATAATATCAAAGCGACCAAAAAAGTTCAGTCAGAACAAAGGAAATATTTAAGTGGTCAATGAGAATTGAAGTAAAAGTATTTATTGATTCACACTATGCAGACTGTCTGAAGCAAAGGAAAAGTTTTATTAGTTTTAGTTTTGCATCTGATTGCTTGAGAGGACAGCACATAATTCCTGGACCAACCAAAGACTACAGAGGGGCTGCGCCAAAGGAACATTTTGGGTAATAAAATTAATAAAATAAAATGAATAATGGAAACCAAAAATACCTGCTCTCTGGTTGTCTCAGTATACCATGGCTGTTGTAGCAAACTCTCCAGATCATCAGCAACATTTACATTACCAACAACCTACAAAATATTATAAAGTGTTGATAACTGCCCTAAAAAGTCAGTCACATACCACATAGGAGTTATGTCAACCTGCCTGGCCCTATAGGATTGTGATAAGGGGTAGACAGGTCATAAGATAACCAGTGATATTCACTCTTAACACTTACATTTCCTTGTCTATCTACTAATCCACCCGCTGTGTTCAGAAACATGACTTTCATTGGCTGTAACTCTTCAGCGATTCTGACAGCGGCATGATGAGATTCCACACAAAGTACTTGACCTGAGGGGGATTCTGCTACTGCTGTCAACACAGGGATGTGTCCTGATCTGGAAAGATTAAATACCAGTTCACTCATAAAAGCTCTTAGCTAAGATTGTTTTGGTCATCTTATTAGTGAATAGAAATAAAATTTGGCAGCTAAATTTGCAGCACAATTTGGGAACCTGTGTTTGACTGACATGTAACAGGCAATGTTATGTTTCTATCAGTTAATACTTATGACCCTTAACCCTTTATCTCCCATGAGTGACCAAGTCAGAATTTCTCCTTACGATATAAAATACAATATCAACCAGATAAGTAATGAGAATAAAGAAATATATCAATTTGGGGCTAATTAGTTGATCCAATACTAAATTCTCTGAACTAACATTATAAGAATTGTATGGTTGACAGTAAAGAGAATTACAAATTTGATCTGGGAGTTAAAGGATTAAGTTACGGTGATACTTACACTTTCATAAACTACTCGTAAAGATCTGTTGTTTAAGTTTGACCAGAAATAAAATGCTTTTTTCTCCATTGTCGTGCTAGTGTTATATGCCTCACTTACTATTTTGCATCTCTAGCTATTCCTCTTCCTATGTTTTTAATTTTTGCTGATGACTCAAATTTTATCATTGGCTGTCATGTTATGATCTAGTGTTGTAAAATGATAAAAGGTGAGCTTGGAGACTTCCTAATTCAGAGTCTTAATGAAACATAAACTATCAGTCATTCAATAATCTAGATGTCCTAAGCCATAACTTATAATTTGCAGATGCCAATCTGAAAATACCTTATTCTAAAAAATAATTCTTTAATAAATTGTATTATTCTCACAGAAATACCTTAGACATCCTTGTAATGGTCTAACATCCACTTCATATATCTTTCCAGTAAAAGCAGTCCTGAAAAAAATGTTTGTCTATGAATTATCAAACATTTGCAAAGCTAAAAATTTCCTTCTTCATACCCCTTGTCTAGAATTTAAGTAGCCTAAGCCCGGCTTATAGCATACCATTTCAGTATCATGCTGTTTGTGCTAAGTTCCTCACTATGATCATAAGTTTAAATTCAACCCAGTTAGAATTTATGCAACCTATTCCAGAGAAAAAAATTTCAGTAGGAACTTACCATTCCCACAAAATTTCTCCATGTCACATGAAACTAGTTGTCTCTGCAACATCTACTACTTGTTGTGTCGCCAGGACTTTTTGTGTCCTTCCTTAAATACCTCTTACATATACAAATGAATGACAGTAGCATGTGCATCTCACCCAGGTTCATCAAGCTCCATGGCTGAGAGAACGTGACCAGAACTCATAAAAGGTCTAGCTTTACTTCCATGTTTTTCCAACAGATCAACAAGCTCTATGTTGCCTTCAATCAGCTTAGCCCTTCTTAGCCTGGGATCCTTGATTTGAGTATCTGAATGAGGATCCAAGCCATGAACTATGATCACAGGCATACCATTGCGGTGCAAGAATGCCAAACATGAGGCCAGCTTTTCTAACTAGAGAAAATAAAGAAATAAAGCTATGAATCAAATAAACAATTACCTTGCAAAAATTGTACAACATAAATTATGCCATTAAATGCAACTAATTGTCACAAACTATTTCAACTTACCATAACTTTATCATTCAATATTGGTGAGTCAACTTGCACAACAGCAAATGGCTGATCAGGGGTGGATTCATGCTGCTGAAACTGCCGCAGCCAATAGCGAGCTTCCCTAGGATCAGTACCAATCTGGAAAGAGAAATAACCGACAGGTCTCAGGTGACATTGATAAAATTTGTAGAAATGAGTATGAAGTATGTCTTGTTTCACCTTGATTCGAACTAAAACCTTGTAAACTTTTGACTCAGATTTCTAGACTAGATGGTGTTACCTTGTTAAGTTCGTCAACATTGCTTCATATGGCTACGCCATGAGCCAAGGTTAAATTTTACTTAACCAGAGTAAACAATTCATTCTTTGAATCAATTACAAATGTGCAACAAACTTAACACCTTACTATTACAATAGCCACTAATCTCGTATAGGGACATTACCTCCTCTAGGAATCGTCTCAAGTCTTGTTGCTTGCTTGAATCGGAAAACAGCTTCAAATTTTGGCTCGAAGAAGACAAACATCTCTCCGGAGGTTTGTTACAATTACTCCCCTTGAATACCCCTTTGATCTTTCCTGATCGGCAAGAAACTAAACGACCAAAAGGCCGACCAAAAACATGTGTTCCCCTCATGATATCTCACTGGAACTCTTGATAGATACCATTTTTTTCGACACAAATGTCTATAAGAAGTCCAATTTGACCTTCAAAGTTTGACCGTCACTTTATCGTTTTCAACCTGAGATCCCGCGTAGGAGGAATCACAAAAATTTGATTGCATCATCTGTTATTGCGATCCCAGGAAAATCCGGTTTAGCATCCAAAAATTCATCAGTGGAATAAATTAATTACTCCTCTATTTTCATTCAAATTTTCATTCAAATTTTCCTTCAAATTTTCAGAAGCACACAATAGTTCATAATAAATACCCTTTTTGTGGTTTACCCCTGGGTTGAAAACGGCGGCGTAATTATTAATCGATTTCATTGACTCTGATTGGTTATCCTGTTCCTTACATGTGTTGATCACGTTTCATTGAATTTTCGCGCCATATTGCTGAGGGACTGAAATCAAAACATTATTGTGATCATATTGTGTTGATATTGCGACATGTGATAGCTTTCTGTTATGATTACGTGTCCTCTTCTCAGATTTACGTCTGAATAAGAAGAATATTTATTCATCACTTCCTCAACTTTACCCTTTTGGTTGGAAATCGGCGCACGGGTTTCTTTATGTAATGAAAGATGTCTATGATACTTCGAGCTTCGAGTTTACTGCGAAGAGGGAAAACTGCGTTTTCAGCCGCTAAGCTATCGTCTGTTTCGACAAGATCACGAAAGGTATAAACTGTTGTAAGATTTATTTCATTCTAGTGTTGCGAATTTTTCTGAAGTACTTTGAGAGGCGCGCGATCGTCCGATATGCAAGATATCGTTGGACCACGTTGCAAAGATCGATCATGCCATACAATTTACCCCAAGGCACTTCGTCTCCCTCATGTGCACGTGCATTCGATCGTTAGATTAAAATAAGCAAAGAAATTTAATTTGCGTGTTGTCCGAAAACTCTAACAGGTAGCTCTGTTTCGCAATTGAGCGCTTTAAACGTGAATTCTAAATAGAAGAATATAGTGAAACTTTTTGGAGTTAACCTCGTGATCTTTGCTGCATGTGATAGCTAGTCTGACGACAATAATTTTTTTTAATACTCCTTTGGGGGGATTAAATGATCTTAGTAGTAAAGAATATCTGCATATTTCTTTTAGTTGAACAAAGAGTGTTAATTCTCAGATAAATTGAGAATATTCGACAAAACTTGTGAGGAATAATATCCATAAAAAAGGATAACGAGCAAAGTTTTACTAAATACATTTTTGAGGGTTTTATTACCTATGGATGCTTGCTATTTCATAACTTTAACAGACACCCCCTAGGACCATGATGAAGAACAATAACCTTTTTTGAAGCCCTCTTATTAATTTGCAAACAGTTTTTCTTAACCATGGATGGAGTATATTTTTGATCATTTCTGTTTGTAAAGATTTATTATTCTTGGACAAGAAAAATTTATCCCATTTCTTTATCCAATTATGGTATTTCCTTGAATAAGCACCCGTGCTCTAATAAGAGCCCTCTTCCAAATGAGATACCACCCCCTAGGCAATAATAATAACAAACAAGCACCCCACGCCTTCCTCCCACACGTTCTTAGATGGTGGGCATACAAGGAAGACCTGTCTCTATTGCTGCTTTATTTATAACTTTTTAAGCTTCAACTACAGCAAAATCAGTACAGCTTAATAATTTCTTAATAAGCATCCTTCCAAAAAGTGCCCCCCTTTACCTGAAATTTTGAATAAGCGTCCACACACTTATATAAGATACATATGGTTGCTGTGGAGATATTATTGAAGAATTGTCAATGTTGACATTTTAAGTGTTACAATTGTCATCTTCATCCTTAGTTCCACATAATTTTCTCCATATTATGAATTTCTACGAACTTTTCTCCTCTCAGAGTTTGTCGGCATCATTGGTTTTAGAGGATGGAACTCGCCTTAAAGGATATTCCTTTGGTCATGGCAAATCTACATCTGGAGAAGTGGTCTTTAATACCGGTCTGACTGGGTTAGTTTTTTTTACGTATCATACAGATTTTGATTAACATACAATGGAGCATGTCAGGGAGAAGTCCAGAGAGTTCACAACCCTCCCCCTTCCCCCCTTCCCCCTCTTAATCAAATCTGTGTGTCTTCTCCCTGCTTGTTGGAAACCAAAATTCTCGAAAAGACAGAGTCATGTATTACTTCTCAACTTAAAGTACGTGAAATTTTCCTTACTTAAATTGTTATTCCTCAGCTTATTTAGGGTCTAGTGTAACAGTGAAAAAAAAAACAATACCAGTTAACCCCTGTGAAACAGATTTTATTCACCAGGTAACCAGAACAAGAAAAATTTTACTACAAAGACTCTAAGCTGCTCTTTTCCATAGAATATTGATTTGTACAAGTAATACTGCTCAAAATGTTATCTTCTTCTGAGGCCAAAATCATACTTCTCTTGGCTAGTCACCAGATGGTCACTTTGAAACAAGTTAAGCCTGGAGCACTGATTGATGACATTTGAATGTTCTTTTAAAAAAATGAAACAAATGAAAAATTTATAAAAACAAGCTCTGAAAATAAACAAAGCCTCTTTTCATTTTTATTTTATCATTAGAAGATCGTAGATCAGAGGTGTTCTTGTCAGAATTAATGGAAACCTTTTTGTAAACAATTTTCTTTCGTTAAAATTTGCAGATACCCTGAAGCACTCACAGATCCAAGTTACAGAGGACAAATACTGACCCTGACTTATCCTATAGTGGGAAATTATGGTGTGCCGAGCACAACAGAGAGAGATAAATATGGATTATTAAAACATGTGGAATCAGAAAACATACAGGTACGATTGGTAATTTAGTGAGATCATTTATTTGCTATGTCTTCCTTTCATTTTCAAACCATTCCTTTGGAAATTAATTACTTTGCATTTGTTTGTGGGTTTGTTTTGTTTTTTCTTTTCATAAGGTGTCTGGATTGCTTGTTCAGGATTATTCTCATAATTACAGTCACTGGAATGCAGTGAAGTCACTTTCAGAATGGTTGCAAGAAGAAAAGGTATTGATATTTATTTATTTAGTTATTATAGGTACTTAATTTGATAAGCTCAGGGACTGGTCATTATTTGTGAAG